GACCGTTAGTCAAACAAGAACAAGTCTGCAGCTGCAGGAATGCAGAGGTCAGCAGAAAGCAATGTGTGAGAAACGGTGATAACAGAAACTTTTCCCAGGAATGTGTGCTTTAAGACTACCAATCGTTGGACTGTCTGAGGCGCATGGACAGTGTGTGCTGACCAATCATAATAGCATGCTGTGCTCCTGCTCGCATGTCCAGGACTCAAAAGATTATATATTGAGTAGCCTTCTGATAATAAAACGAATTTGAATCTGCATGTCATAGATGTGTCGTTCTTTCCCGCTTGCTTGAATGCCCACGGCACAAAAGTATATGGTACATGGCAGGATGATTCTACCCTGATAAGACCTATAATTCAGTCAGAGAATGCAAATAAATAATGCAAGCTATTATGCAAGCTATCTGTGGTGAGTTACTGCTGGCACCAGGGTGCTGTTTTGGTGTTGAATTATGCTAAAACCAGCCTCATTCACCAAACTTCAAACACACATTCTGCTTTTTGAACTAGGATTTGACAGATAAGCTTCTAGCTGGCCTGGAAATGTGCGACTAGCAGTCAATCACTTTATACTATACAGGTCCAGTCCACTCTCATACAGTCAGGTTCTTCTAACGTAATCCTTCTTGGGGTGCATGTGTGGAGATTCCTCCCTTGGGTAGGGACACCCCCCAAGGATACTCCCTGAGGTTGAGAGAAAGACATCTTCCCATAGGCATTGGTATGAGTGAGTTACATCAAATCTCTACTTAATAATTATTTCTTTTTGCTAGCTTTAATGTAATTGCTTCAATAATTGCTTTAATATAGTGCACTATCCTATCTTATACTATACTACTAGTAGTTTTAGCTTTTATATTCTGTAGTAAATAATTCTGATTAAGATCTTTGATCATTTGTAATAATAAATGATCCATTTTATATAAATATTCTCAGTTTGCAATCATTAAAACCTGTGGGACAAAAGTGGTTCAATCACACCTCTATAATTTCTTAAATTTAAACCATTGACAAAACGTGAGGCTAAGGCTGGATGCAGCCAGACCCAGGCTCCTCTCTTGAGGAGTTTAGAAAGCAAGGGAGTCCTTTCAGCACCTTGTGACTTAACAGCGGGGCTTCTTGAATAAATTTTGTCCAAGCCTTCCACTCCCACCTGCAGCAGAGGGTCTGCCTTTTACACTGTTATCCCTTTCTACCTCTAGTCTCTGCATAAATCATTCTAAATAGACCCTAATTCAATCTTTCTGTGCATGTTTTATCCATGTAGTAAATAGTAAAGTGAACCTTGCCATTGAACTTGGTTGTGCTTTGGCAAATTTATATTAAATCTGCTTTTGCCTATACCTTTGCTGGTGATTCTTTAAGGGACCCCAACCACTTATTTCGTGGCAAATTGGTGTAGTTAGCAGGATGGCAAGTGATACCACTGATTATTCACAAAAGCAAAATTCTTAGATGAGTGGGCTCATGATAACTGATGTCTTGGTTTAATGACAATATATTCGGGAGGTGAGACCTGCCCCTGTATAGAGAAAGTAAAAAGTACCAGGAGTCCGGATGAAGAAGGAAAAATAACAATTTTACTAAAAGGGGAAAGAAACAAAAAAAAAAAAAAAAAAAAAAAAAAAAAAAAAAAAAAAAAAAAAAAAAAAAAAAAAAAAGGCAGAAAATATAATCTAGCTACTCCCCTCCCCACTAGGTTAAAAAAACACAAAAACCCAGAAGGATATTTCATCCGAAGAAAAGTCCTATGCTGCCGAGGCGATGGCATGGGTTCCAGCGTAGCAAACCACGCAGGTGTCAACGGCGGGGTCGGGGTGACCTGGCGCGGTGCTGGGACCCAGAGGGCTCGGACCGCGGGGTGGTGGCACTTTGTGCGGGCGAGAGAGTGAAAACGGTTGTGACTGAGAAGACAGCAACTCCTGAGAGGGGAATCCCCAGGCTGGCGGTGGCGGCAGCTCCTGGGCTGTTGCGAAATAGCTGCTGAGATGGCGGCGATTCCGGAGAGGGGAATCCCCGAGCTGGTGCGGTGGCGACTCAGCTGGAGCCGGGGTGACCTTGATCTGATGCGAAAATGGCTCCAGGCTGAAGCGAAAATTGTCTGCAGCTAAGGCAGAGCGGCCCCCAGGAAAAGACTAAGAGTCTGTGGTTCTCCAGCGGGCAAAAATCGGGTACAAAGAGAGCAGTTCTGGCCTGTACTCGCCTTTTATCTCCTGTCTTCCAAGTTTCCCGGGGTGCTCCAGTCCAGGGACCCACCTCTCCGCCGGGTTCCGAGACCCTGGGGGCAGTCTTCCCTGATCTAGCTCGGACAGGGGCGGTCCCCCGACACTCCAAATTATGCGGTGGTATGAAATATTCATCACTGAAAATTCTTCCCATTTGACTAAAACTACAACAACTGGCGTGACTGGAAATCTGTGGAGGAACAGTTAAAGGTGACCAGGGGCCATATAAAAGATGAAAAAAGAAAAGGAATTATTTGTAAAATGTTAAGCACCTGCCTAGAAGCTACCTGTCAGGATAGGGAAAATAGTAATAGTGAGAAACAAGATCTGAGAGGAAGTAGAAGGCAGAAAAGCAGATGAGTTATTACTGTCTCTGAGAAATGAACAACTACTAAAAGAGTTACAGGAAGAAGACAAACATTGAAAGTATTAGGTATAAATAGGTGTTCTTGCAAAGTTTGTAGTGTAGTTATATTTAGTAGTAAGAAGTGACAATGTAACGGTTTTGTAATAGTTAATAAAAACAAAGGTGAATAATTTGCTAATCAAATTAAATTTGTAATGTTAGTGATTAGTTTGAATTACAAGTGTCAAGCCACAATGTTGTATTACTATGGCAAGCTATATCTTCTTGTGTTGAACAAGTTCTGAATGTAAGTTTGGGTGTGCCTGTAAAATGTGGGTGAGGGAAAGT